ATCGTGGAAACGGCTTTTTTATTCTACTCCTGTGTAACAAAGTACACCCATTGGTGAAGTTATTTTTAACCTCTTCTCCCTTAATCATCTTGAAATCAATGAAAACATTATTATAGCTTTAAGCACATGGAATTTTTGTAGACCAACAGAAGTTATGACACATTGATAGCTGTTTCATAGACTAATAATGCTTTTGAGACCGATAAAAATTCGGAATTTGGATGTATTTATTTTTGTTATTTTGTTGGAAGCAATTTAACAACAAAAATATGAGTGCTCTAAAGCAGTGCTCCCCAACCTTTTTATCACCACGGATCTGTCAACGTTTGATATTTTTACCGCGGCCCGGTGGGGAGGGGGAAGTTGATTGTTTATATTTTAAATTATTTTGGTTTATTAATTTTAATTTAATTGTATTTAAACATGCCTTCAAAATAAAATACAGTTACACCAAAAAATAAACATAAAGTGATTTAATATTTTAACTTAGTAGAACGTTAAATCAATGACAACCCTGAGCTTGTATCTTTGCAATGAGACGGTTCCATCTGAGGGTAATCGAAGACAATGACACCCGAAGTGTGTTGCTTATGTCCTGTTTATTTCGTTGCTTTGTTTTGGTTGTTGTTACTGCAGAAAACCCCGCTTCACACAGATAGCTTGTCGGAAATGGCAATAGGGATTTGAGGGCTGTGGTGGCAATCTCGGGGTATTCTGCCATATATTCTGCCAATCTCTGGGTAATCTACCTTCGCCCCTCCTTTTTTTAAATAAATAAAATTTTAATGGAACACAGATATTTTTAATTTGGGGTACAAACCTAGGAATTTAAATTCAGTTTCAATGAAATGGGGCGGTCCGGTATAATTTGATCCACGGACCGGTTCCGGTCCGTGGACCGGGGGTTGGGGAACACTGCTCTAAAGTAAACTCACCTGTCACAAAGTAACTGCATTTAACGGTAAGGAATAACACTCAGTTTTAAACCCCTTAATTTTGTATAATTACCAAAAATAAATGAAACTTATAAATACCGTTAAATTATGTATAATCAATTTACAGGTAGATAAAGTCACAACTTCTTTAATATGTTGATGATAGACGAAGATACAAGGATTTTCATTCTTTATTAATAATCGTATGTGATTTTTCTGTGTAATAGAAATGCATCGCAAGGTAAGAAGACAAATATCTATTAAAGCTGTATAGAGAGATATAGCTTGATATAGTAGTTTGGTTATTGCATAAGAATTTGCAACAGATACATGTTATAACAGTTATTTATGACTGTTAAAAACAAATTCACAACGTAAGTTCCTTACTGTACAGCTAAGTACTGACTTTAAGGTAAACTTTTACCTGTCTATAGTTATGCTAATTATGAAAATGACGTTAAATGCGGATATGAAAAAAAGCACAATTTGGCGAAAATGAAAAAAATTCGTGATCTAATATTTTAATGTTTGAAAAGTTTCTACAACGTTTCATAGTCTTGGTTCATAAATACTTGAAACATTGCGAATTATTCATTACTTTTAATGATTATTGTCATGTGACTAATTTGACGGCTTTTTTAAATATATATAAAAANAAGACAAGTTATGACCAATGTCAGTGACTAATTCGTGACTTTGAAATCCTGAGTCCGATTGACTGAAATTGAGAGTGTTTCGTTTTACTAGAATTTCACTCGTAAAATAAAATTCTTTTTAATCAAGCAGTTATTTTCAAATAATTTAAGTTTAACAAATTAAACTCTACACGATACACGGAATATACAACACTCGGGATGAAATAAATTGCTTCATTAAGTTTTCACATGAGGTTTATTGTCAGTTCCTTTTTATAAAACAATGTTTAAAATCAACAAGTGTGTTTTTGAAGTTATACTTCTTATGCGACTTCCAACAAGGTTGCGTTAAACGTTTAACGCTACATTTTTATAGGCCGGGAAATTACGTGGTAGGATCCAGTTTTCCCTCATTCATTTCCATATTGTTTTGGTTCTCTCTAGCATGAAAATAATAAAAGTCATAAAACTTTTATTTTTCTGTAAATATCTTTTTAGTTTGTTTTGATACACATATAATTTAATAGGGAGCAGGAAAAAGAGTCGTTGAATAAAATTTGTAATTTCGTGTTATTATTGTGTTTGAAGAGTTGTGAAGTGTGCATTTTAAAAATGTAAAAAACTACACATTTTGTTGATTCAGTGCGGAATTGAAGTGAGTATTTTGAATAATTTTTGATCGAATTTATACGTGCGTTGGTTAACAACCACTCTAACCTATAAATTTATTTGTAAAGCTAATTGATTTCATATAAAACTTTTTCAATTGTTTTTATTTAGAATTTCTTTTTAAAATATTAAATTAAAAAAGGCAAAAAAATAAAATTACACATTTTTTTATCTAAAATTTGGTACAATAAATCTTTTCAGTCCTGCTACTTAATTAAAATATCATTTTCAATAAATTACTCATATTTTTTTATGTACTATTTTACAGTATTTTGTTTTACAAAGAAATTGCCACGTCTTCGTGGAAGAGCAAGAAATATTGGTCGACGTACACGAAACGCACAATTGGTCCATGATCGTCGATTGAATAGAACAGTTGAAGAACACTTGACGGATAATGTGAATTCAAGAAATCAAGTTGCATCTTCACGTGAAAAAGAAAATTCAGAGCAACGCAATCAACGTCTTCGTGCAAATACATTAAGGCAACGAGAGACACGCCAACGAGCGACCAACGAAAGCAGAGAACGTAACCAACGGCGAATGTAAGATAATCGAGCATTGATACGAGCATCACTTAATCGTCTTGCGTAGACTATTCGTCACATGGATTAATCTTGATCGGTAGTATGGACAACGAGTGTCAATATTGGCTTGCTTTAAAGTACAAAGGTGAATCAGCTGGTTTATGTTGCGCATCTGGAAAAATTTCACTTTCACCATTAAATCCACCACCGGAACCTTTGAAAACATTATTAGCTGGAACCGCATCTCAATCGAAATTGTTTTTGCGGAAAATTCGTAAATTCAATTCTTGCTTTCAAATGACATCATTTGGAGCAACAAAAATTTTTCATAATGAGGATGGTCGTAATTTTGAATCTACATTTAAGATTCAAGGTCAAGTGTACCACCAAATTGGTTCATTGTTTCCAATGCCTAATGTCGATCCAAAATTCTTACAAATTTACGTTATGGGCGATGAGGAGCAATAAACTCATACACGATGCGTATACAACCATATAGAGCAGATGGAGGAACGAGAAATTGTGGACATTTTGGAAACGTTCTTGCAAAACCATAACCAATTGATACGATTGTTCAAGACTTTTTCCAACAGACTGCAAAACGACAGCTACGATTGTTATTAAAGCCGACAAAGTGCCCTCGCAGGCACATATAATGTTCCAACTGTTAATGAAGTTGCAGTTGTTATGGCTGGTGACCCATGTGAACGTCGAGATATCCGCATACAACGCAGAAATAATAAAATAATACAATACAAATAATTCAAGACAATCATCGTTCGTACGACGCACTGCAATATCCGTTGATATTTCGGGAAGGAGAAGATGGATATCATTTAAATATTAAACAAAGGAATCCAACAACAAGCACACCTTATAGATTATTTTATAATTTTTTTTAACCAATTATTTCTGTTTATCTTATAAATAGTTTTATTTACAGGTGAGGAACTAATCAAGAAAGTTAGTGCGATGAACTTCCACGCATACCGGTTGATGATTCGTGAAAATGAAGATAATAACATTCTCCGATGCAGACAGCTATTTCATCAGTACATTGTTGATATGTAAGTAAAAATCGAAAGTGAGAGATTGCGTTATATAAAATTTAATCAAGCGAAACTTCGTTCTGAGGAGTACATTCATTTGCGTGACGCCATAATCGGTAACGTAGATGCAAGGAATGATATCAACAACATCGGTACCGCATGTATTCTTCCATCATCATACATTGGTAGTCCGCGTCATATGCAAGAATATATTCAAGACGCCATGACTTAAGTACGCGCATACGGCAGATCAGATCTTTTTATCTCATTTACGTGTAATCCAAACTGGGATGAAATTAAAAATTTGCTGTTATCAGATCAAACATTGATGCATCGCCATGATATCATTGCACGTGTGTTCAAACAAAAACTCAAATCTCTGATGAAATTGATTACACATCA